CTATTCCTCCATCTTACCGGAAGTCCTTATAAAAATTTTTAACTCAGTAATCTAAGGCATTAAGATGGACATGTTACTTTAGGACATGAAGCATTTTGTAGCTTGTGTTTGATTTCATGGCAGGAAAGTGAGTCCACCTTTAGATAGTGGGCCATTGATGCTGATGAGTATTACGTAGATCAGTCATAACATTGAACTGAATCGGAACTAGCAACTGAAGAGATTGTTGAGGGTAGTTAAATTGTCTCTCTATGAAAACTGCTTTGCATTGTGATGGTTACAGGGTCCAGGTGCCTGAAGGGTTTTTCACAGCATACATTAAGATCAGGATTTTATGAAGTATCCCTTCAAACATGTGTTCTCAAGAATGCACTGTGTTATATGAGGTCCACTGGTACAGGAACCTCTACTGCTCTTCACAGCTGGTTTCATGGTGAGCAGGTGGCATGTTCTCTGGACATCTGAAAAGTATTTGTGAGTTACAGCAACACTGTATACCAGTAATATACTGCAGTTGTAAAAGATGTGTGTTTGTGTGTGTGTGTGTACACATTCATGAAATGTGGAGAGATTTAAACTAGTGAGTAGTATTTTGAAAGTCAATGAAATAAACATTTCAGTTGCAGTGGCATCCAGAAAGTGAATGAGCTTCCAAGTTAGGCAGAAAAAAGTTGGAATCCCAGCACACCTGTTTATTCACTCTGTGGCCAGCAAGTTGCCTGGCCTCTCTGACTCTGTTTCCTCATCAGACTGCTAATGCCTGCTTTCTGTGGTTGTCATTGCGATTCAATGAGTCTGTCTATGTAAAGTGCCTGGCACCAGTGCTCAGCACTCAGTAGAGAGTACATTAGTGGTCAATGTCACTACCAGCTATTGAACATACTTTTTGTCATCTCTCAAAATACCTAGCCATATGACTCAGTGATAGAATTCTCACCATCCTGGCAGGAGACCTGGAATTGATTGCTGGCCAGTGCCCCTCCTGCACAGCCACCACTCGTCTGTCAGTGGAGGTGTGCATGGTGCTCTGATGCCACCAAGTATCCACAAAGCTTCCAGACTAAGACTAGGAAGAGAGGCCTGGGGATCTCCTTCCAAAAATCAACCAACAAAAACCCTGTGTATTACAATGGTCCATTCTATAATCAATCACAGGGATGGTGCAGGACCAGACAGCGTTTAGTTCCATTGTGCATCGGGGTTGCTGTGACTTGGGGCCTGACTTGTCGGCAGCTAACAACAACTAGTGAGCCATAAAACTTAGTGGTTACAACTTCTGGTAAGATGGAGGAATAGGCAGACAAGCGACACAGACTCTATTCAACAGAGAAAAACCAATTGACAGAGATACAGAAGGTAATCCTGGAGCCCTGAGCTTAAAAAGAACTATACAGAAGTGGATTAGGCACCAACTAGTGGAAAAACCTGAATGAAAACAGTGAGTACAGAGATAGTCAAAGCCACGGGCTGTCAGCTACTCCGACGGGACCAATAGCCAGAATAGTTCCAGGTGGTCTTG